TGTGTGTGTGTGAGAGAGAGAGAGAGAGCTAGAGGTGTGTGTGTGTGTGTGTGGGTGTGTGTGTGTGTGTGAGAGAGAGAGAGAGAGCTAGAGGTGTGTGTGCGTGTGTGTGTGAAAGAGAGAGCGAGCGAGAGAGGACGGATGAAAGGATAGACGGCAGCAGTGCATATATATATATTGTATATTTTCGGCAATCAGCAGAGCGTCCCGTTGCGCAATCATGCGTGTACGCGAGTCGCGCGATCACTGTGTGAGTGGATGTCCGGATGCGTAGCCTAGAGGCTAAGTGACCTGGTTCCGGATGCGTAGCCACTGCGTATAAATAAAGGGGGAGTCCATTGAACACTGGAAATGTGACGATCCCAAGTTACTTAAAATTGCTTCCGACCACGTGAGGAAATTACTAAAATATAGGGATCAAAGAATAAGATTAGCAGAATTAAATGCTGGAGCCTGGAGGTACAAATCAATGAAAATGATGAGATAAAAGTTCACATTCCCAGAATATCCTCGCACCTTCACCAGAGAAGTGATGCCTTTTAAAATACAAGAGTGGGACAATAATTATTATGAATATACGATATGATACGATGAATAATGTGTACAGTGTGTATGTTGTGTATGCGCCAAAACTCTCTAATTGTAATTAACACATGCTGTGTCATGTCTATTCAGGCCTGCTGATGCATATGACAATGAATGATATGATATGGACCACAGGCACTTGGAATGTCTCAATGAAAAAAATTAATGGTAAATAAACACGAAATGTACCAAAGTCTTAATGTTTCTCTACTCTATTTCGCCTATAATCGCCTGTAAATGCCGGTCAAATGCTCATCTGCAACACACCAGTACACCGCACGCCTGCCCTGCGCTGCGTGCACAAACAACATGAATAAGAGAGCAAGTAGGAAAGCGTGATCGCGAAATTCGCTCGACGCTCGCTTCATTTCACACGATCACTGAACCAAAACACATCCAACAGCTCTCATCTTAGTATCTATGTATACATAAGTGTTCACTTGTTCGAATTATAACTCTGGCCTTTGTTCTTACCTACTCCTGCCAGAGATATCTCGTGAAATCCTGCTGGAAATGTTCTCTCCGTGAAAATGTAAAGAGGACGAGATGTCTGTTTATACACGAGTAATGGGGCGCATTGCATGCCGGGATGAGCTGCTGCCGGCCTCCGAGCTCCATTTTGTGGCCCGCCAAGCGAAGCACAATGCGCGCGGGAATGACGTCACGCACACACAACTACAGCGATCGATCGAAAGTAGCGCCGTTAGGGATTTTCGGATGATAACGTCCTCTTTACATTTTCACGGAGAGAACATTTCCTGCAGGATTTCACGAGACATCTCTGGCGGGAGTAGGTAAGAACAAAGGCAAGAGTTATAATTCGAACAAGTGAACATTTATGTACACATAGATACCAAGATGGGAGCTGTTGGATGTGTTTTGGTTCTGTGATCGTGTGAAATGAAGCGAGCGTAGAGCAAATTTCGCGATCACGCTTTCCTATTGCTCTCTTATTCATGTTGTTTGTGCACGCAGCACAGGGCGGGCGTGCGGTGTACTTGTGTGTTGCAGATTAGCATTTGACCGGCATTTTAATACAGATGATTATATTTATAGGCGAAATAGAGTAGAGAAACATTAAGATTTTGGTACATTTCGTGTTTATTTACCATTAATTTTTTTATTGAGACGTTCCAAGTGCCTGTGATATGGACGCCTTCTAGACAGTCTGCAGCCCGGTATACGCGCGAAGCGCGAACAGCACCACCTGGTGGTGCCTTTAGAGACAATTCGCTGCCCAATATGTATAACTATATACGCAAGGCCCTTTGGGTACTAGACAAAGCCCGAGAATCGGTCAATTGAGCAGTTCTGGCCATTGCAGAAGCCTTTCGACTATACACGTAGGGCGAGAATAAATCCAATGGTCGTAATTGCTGTTTGTTTTTGTTCGCGCGTTACCTTTTTTCCTATAAAAGCGATTTCTAATTTATTTAATTGAACGCCCTGAAGTTATTCTCGTACATATCGCGGCCCATAGAT